ACACCTCCACCATGCCCGCCACCAAATCCGCCGCCGCCGCCACCTCCGAACCCCCCACCACCGCCAACACCACCTCCGCCAAGCGTCTCTTTCTCAAGCTTCCTGGCATCGGAAATCCGCGCCACGAACAAACCAAAGAAAAGAATCACAATAACAAACACACCCTCATTTCTAAAAAACTTCCCCATCTTTAATTCTCCCTCTCTTTTTTTCTGGTGGCTAACTAAACCAAAATTGGCAAATGTGATCTTGCCGTGTTTTATCCATCACTTGGCTAATACATATATATAGGCACAAGAACATGGTTCATAAATGCATGCAGTTGGGACATACAACATTTTTAAATATTTTTTAAACAAATTCTTGTACCATAAGCTAGCTAATTCCTTTTTTTCCAATGTCGATATTCAATCATGTGGTCTGGTGCATGGATATTTCATCTCTATACCCCACGGGATTTTAACAGTCAGATTACACACAGTAACGGTTTTAGCCGTCGGATTGCATATAATCACACTCATCATATGGATCCAACAGCTAAAAATCCATGGGTAGAGCACATGATTTGGTGCTGTTAACATCTCAACTATCAACCCCCTTAATTTCTTTTGCACTGTCCCATAGATTATTTTTGCTCAACTTGTCCCATCTTCGTATCTGTCTCCATGACTTTGTGTTACCATAATTAATAGGTTAGGTGTAAAGAGGCATTGATATTTTTGGACAATAACCATATACTTTTTGCCTCATTCATTAACAAAAAAAGTAAACAAGAAATTGCGAAAAAAATGATTCAAAAAGAAAAAAAAACAACAGTGTACTAACACCGACACATCTCATTCCATACCATATAAGAATTTTATTTATTATACACGTCTAACCGTTAAACAGAATTTTATTAGACACGCCTAACAGTTAAACAATCATTTTTTTAAACAAATGTGCATGATTTCATGATTTTATAATATAAATATGCACTTTTATTAAATAAATATGTCGAATAAAATAATGTAATTATTAAGCCGCCCTACACAAGAATTTGTGCATTCCTCTTTGCAAAATTAAGAAGTGTTATTCAGCCTTTATTGACCTCAACAACCTAATCTTTAATTCCAGTACTGTGCATTCATTTATATATATATGTACACACTGCAAATATTACTCCCACATTAGCTTCATTTTTATGAGCAATAATAATACACCATTTATATATTAATATTATGATTAATAAATGTAGCTATTGATCAAGGTTTTTTTCTTTTTACATTTGTCCAATACTATATTCAGTAAATTTTTCTATTTGATGAAATTAATCATAGTGTTTGATGAAATTCTTGAGGGACTAAATAATATATTCCAATTCTAATATTATTAAGGATATAAATAATACTTGCCCAAAGGACTTAATTCATTTCTGGACCTCAAGTTTTGTTTGCTTGCTTTCTGGTTCACAAATCACAATCAATTAGTTTCTGGTTGAGATTTGTTAATAGAACACGGTTTATATTTAAGAACAGGATAACGATTCAAATAAAAGTACAAAAACATATCCTCTCCATTAATATATTTATCTGTAAGCAGGTAAAATTACATTAATCTCAAAGGAGATATCTCTAAAAGAAAACAATTTGTTTATCCTCCAATATTCACAGGACCAAAATCGTGATTGAATTGTAAAAAAGAAAAACATGGATATGAAGAGATTGCTCATCGAGTAGTGGCTACTTACTCGGTCTAAGTCTGAAGCCAAACAAGCTGCAGTATATCTATTATTTTTCAAAACGTCTTTCACATTTCATTACGTATATTAACTTGTTTAATAAATAAGAAGCCCGGCCCGCGCGTGAATATTAATGTTCTGTTTATTGTGATATGTAGCAAAGTAGCTTCCGAGTTGGTTGGTAAGTACTCGACTTTGATAATTTTCTTTTTATGTCCATTGGCTCATGAAATATTCAAATTATAAACAAGCTAGAAATTGAGCTCGAGCTCTCGAGTCTATCTCGAGCTTTAATGGGCCGACTATAAAAAATTATATAAAAATTCTTTTTTCGAACTTTAACGAGCCTTACCGAGTCGAACTGAGCGAACTCGAGACTTAACGAGCCGAGCCGGACTCGTTTAATTTAACAAGAGGTGATGATTTGAGTACTTTTCTTTCTACAATGTTTTTTTCGTTTTCGTGTTTTTTTCTGTTTGGTTTCAAAGCAAGGGTGACTGTAATTGCAAGTCGATGGGAAGATGTAGAGTCAACTCTATTGATCTGCCTAATGGCCGGATCCACATGGAACAGTGGGGTATTGTTAAATATAGAGCTTCATTGTTGATTTGTGGTATCTTTATTCTTGTTAGAGGGGCATTTTGGGGTTTTTACTATTGGACGGTTAAAAATCAGTTTTTTCCCTTTATTCTTCATGATTTTAGAACTTTTTTTTTGAGTGTGTGTAGGTCTTTGTTNCGAGAACCGGTTTATAACCGATTTAGTGCGCTTGAATAAAATATTTGCTATCGAATCCGCCAACACCAGTATGTTGGACTGGTAAGATCGATACGATTTTCTAAACAAATTTTGTTACATGAAAAATTATTTTAAATAAAATTACATATTTAAATAAAATAGAGATTTATAAATTGTTTATCAATTAGTTTAAACATTTGAATTTATAAATTGTTTAGATATTTAAGTAACACTTTCTATTTAAATTTATTACAAATAGTACTATATATATATATATATATATTAAAGTATTATGTATTAAAATCTGAACAACCACAAGACGGTGCGATTGAAAACCTTATATTTACCGTACATTAATAAAAATGATAATGAAATAAATAATTTGTTCACATAAATAATAATAAAATGATATATAAATATTCATAAATCATTAATCATGTTGTCATAAAAGTATTGTTAATATGATTATTTGAAGTTTGGACGACATTACATTCACGTAATAAAGTATTCTCAATATTAAAATTTATATTTAGGTTCAATAATCAATTTGGTCTGGTCAAACTGATACGGAACTTAATTACCTCGGACCAACCAAGTTATGTCAAGTTTTTTTGACTACTTAAAATATCACCTAAAAGTAATTCAATCAAAGTGGACAGTACCCTAATTCAATCACCCGATTGATCCAAAGTAATTTTCTTATTTTCTTTAAATATAATATTTAATTTTATGAAATAAAAATATTTTATGATTCATATGTCTACACCAAATGATAGTATATTAAGATTATAAATTATATATCCAAAGATGAACTATTTATTTTTATTTTATGCATATTAATAAAAAATAAACATAGTAATTTTAAAAAAATTAAGATTAATTGATTGGGTATGCAATTTAAAAAATATTTTTAGCGTTCAATATATATATATATATATAACATGATTGAATTTTTGGATTAGAATATATATATTTAAAATAATTTTATTATTAAAAGTCAAAAAGAAATGATGGCATAAAGATTATAACTTTGAAAAGTTTGTAACCATTAATTTATGAACCCTCCGATTTTAAATGACTTATAATTTTTGAAACATGATACGTACATTTAAAACCCATTAATTTAGGAACCATCCAATTTTTTGATAATGAATTAAAATTAAAATGTAAAATGTAAAAGTTGTTGAAAATAATATATATAAATGTGGTTGACTTTTCCTTACTACTATTTATGGTAAATGTTAATTCTTATTATATATATATAGATTATTATTATTATTATTATTATTATTATTATTATTATTATTATTATTATTAAATATCTTGGAGAATAAGTTAGGAATTTAATATTATTATTTAATATTTAGTGAGAGATCTTGTCTTGTTGGACAAGTTATAAATAGGGTTTAGGGGCTTTATATAAAGACTCTCTCTAGTTTATTTTTCTTGGTTAATTATGAATTATTGAATAAAAAGATGATTTGAAAACTCGAAAACTCAGACTTAATTTTTCGAAAATACTTTATCTTTATCGCATGCTACTAACTTACTATATCTCTTTATCTCTTTCAAGACATATAAAAATATATGCAACTATATGAACTCTTACTGTTAGAATATCACTTATGAGTTGTCATACATCGGTTCATACATGGAAAACATGGAAATTAAACACACTTTAGTGGGTCCACACCCGTTTTCCATGTATGAACGATGTGGGACAACTCACAAGTGATATTCTAACATGCATGTTAGAATAATTTTACATTTATTGGGTTCCATTCTCAAATTAATAATTGATATATCTTTCAAGTCTCAAACTAACATAAGCCAAAAGTTTTAAATTAATAATTTTACATTTATTGGGTCGTCAATAGAATACCCAAACCGATGAATATCCATTTAATAAATAAAATATACAAATTAATTGATATAAAACTATTTATTTATATTGAAGTGTTGTGTGTATCTGATAAAGATCGTGTATCGGGACTCGGTTTTGTGTAAGAACCCGCACTGACGGTCTTGATTTACACATTAATAAGTGAAAACCCGCACTATCGGCCTTGATTTTTCACTAAGAAATGACTCGAAGACGCGCTTCTTTCTTAATTTTTATTACTTTAAACTTCATTCCTTTTATAATCATGAGTACGTGCATTTTTATAGCCTAATCTAAACATTCAAATATTCAAATTGTAACTAACATATAACCAACCATTCAAACATTTAAATTATAAACTAACATACTAATCCTATCTAAATACTTAACATACATAACTAAAAATAACTACTCCCGTTATCATCCACGTGATCCGATTTCCACTTGAAAGGTCGCATCAGCATCGCCAAGTACATATACTAGTATTTTTTATATAATATATATATNTACGAGGTCCCGCTAAAATGAGCCCTTTGCGCAGGAATTCTACCCTGTGTTGCAGCAGAGGAGGGAAAATAATTATGGGGAAGTCTTTGAAGGAGCTGAGTCAACTCGCCGGGTCCAAATATCCTCCACTCAGAAACAAACTCACACCAAAAATTCACACACACAGGCGTGAAAAAAATGGGGAAGAAATTGGGAGTCTCCTTTACTACTACTACACATATCAACACCGCTATCCTCTCTCTATCTCCTCAAACCCTAACCCAAACGCCCAAATCTCAAAACGACGCGAATTGTTTTCTCCTTTCTCGCTCTAGAATACATACACGCCTGCGTGTATCTTTATATTCGGAAACCCATTATCGCGTGCCCTCTGTTGTAACTTCTGTTTTCTCTTTCCGCCTTGCCGCTGTCTGTTTTCCATCCGTCCAATCGAAAGGTGATTCCTTCTTGTCTGATTTGTTCGTGTTTTCCTCAGCATTACAGGTATTTTGGTGGGCTTTTGTTTTGATTTGTGGGATTATTGTGGGGTTCGGAGATGGGTGTGTGTCATCTCGGTTTGTGGTGATCGCCCAATGTGAGGGGTTTTCTTGTTTTGTTGCGTCTTTTATGAGAGGAAGGTGTTTGAATTGGCTCTCTTGTTTTTCCAGGGAATGTGGGGAATCGTGTGAAGCTGTTTATGTGTTTAATTGAGGCTGTTAGTTTTCGTAATTTGTTATCCCTGACTGATTTATAGGATTTGAAATTTCTCAAATTAGTTAAATCTGCGCGTGCTCATGCAGTTGGATCAGCTTGATTTTTTTGTGCTTTATCAGGTGGTGAAGGCATTGAAGTGAATTTATCTTCAATGTCTTATTTCCTTTCTTTTATTAAGTGAGTAAGTTGTTTTCTTGTTGATAAGATGTCTTGCAAGGACTGCCTTGTCTCTGCCATTTTTCGTTGGTATTTTATGTCTTTGAGTTATCCCTGCTGAATCTGACAGTATTGTCATCAATGACTGTGGCCTCTTGACTGATTTATGCACTCAGAGTCGTGTTTTCAAACTCGAGTCTCTCTCAGTTGGTTATGGTTGCCAGATTTAACTGTTAAATTAACAACTATCATGTCTACTTTTTGTGTGATGGTTGATTTTCTGAACTTCTTTTGCTGACACATTGGCTCAAGACATGACTTGTATCCTTTAATCAGCCCTAACACTTGATCTATACTTGTGCAGCTCTTGAAGATCTTTGTTGAAAATGGAGCAGCATGGAGTTCCTCAATTGGAGGGTGTTGCAAACTCTATTAAAAGAAAGAGAAGTCAAACATCACGCCGGCCTAAACCTGAGGCTCAGCCACTCCCTGACCACGAGCAATCCCCTGTTCAATCAACTCCAGTTTCGGATGACTTGAGTAAGGCCTCAAGTGACGAGAATAATGGTGATTTTAACTCGGGTGGGAAAATGTTAAATCTGAATCAGTGTGTATCGAGGTCTTTGCCTGCAAGCGAGCCTGATAAAGTGAGCGGATCGAATGTTGTTCGTGGTAATGGTATGTTTGACGAATCAGGAAGTCAGAGTAAACTGAAAAAGGTTAAATTGAAGGTTGGTGGTGTGACCTGCACAATTCAAGCGAAATCCAGTGCTAATGGCGAATCTTCTGATAATGCTCGTCCACGACAGAGATTGATTGGACAGGTTGTTGCTTCTGTGCTTATTGTCCACCGAAATCATTTTGCACGTG